CATATACAAAGCCTTCTTCATCTTCTTTCGTGTCGTGTGCTCAATTGATTGAATGAGACACCGATTGGTCTTTTTTAAGATCGGGAAGATCATTTATGCGTAAAGTTGAGTAGTACGAAAAGAAATTTGAGTTAAATTAAAGGACGAATTTACGATGGAAAAGCAACCCATTCCAAATTGAGGTAGAGATGGTGAGTAGTACCAGAAAGAAAGCGAAACCACGAAAAACGGCCCAGAACCGGAGAAATGGGACCCCTTCCTTGTCCGTTGATTTGAGCATTGATGGGACTCTCATCGCTTTGCCCTCTTCAACCCTACGCTCTCTCAGCTATCTAATCACTCGCCACCTATTGTACTACGGCGAGTGATCAGACGATCGGTGGGCGGAGATCGCCGAACTCGCCAACTTTGAGCCATGCTAGATCTCAGAGGTCAAATCTTTCGATGCCGATTCGTACCAGATCAAAGCATCAAGTCTACGCAAAAGATCAGTACTCGTGTCTGTCCGCACCCTCAAGAGATTCACCGCTCTCCCCACTAGGCGATTTCTCCCTTCTTCGACCTTCGTTCTTTCCGTGCAATCCTCCTTTAAGACTAATTCTTTTTTCTCTGTTTTGAATAAAGTAGCGATTGAGAACAACCCTCAGTCAAGGTCGAGAGCTTAGCATCAGGATTTCGGATTTCTCTCCAAACCTACGAGGACGCATGACTGGTTGACGTGCTATTTCGCAATAGGAAGGTTCAGAAGCATGGGGATCCCATTTCTGTGCTCGGTCTTCTTCAGAAAAACGCTTGCCGTGAAGAGGAATGATGCCAGAATAAGTAACGAAAGGAGAAGTAAAAATAGGTTAGAAATCGATGCAGCAACTTCATCTGCCTCAGGGTGTCCATAATTTTGATACAAGAAAAAACTTTCCATGAAAAATAGTTCGCTAAGTTGGAACGAAATCTTTTGCCGAGAATGTCATTGTAGGTTATCGACCACTAGGAGTTGAATGGTGAAGGTTTCATAACACAAAAAGCCTTTAGCTGACTCCTGAGAATCGATTCTAGGGTGTCCACCTACTTTTGGTACGCACTGTATTAATCGGTAATATTCGATCACGGGTAGAAAGGAAAAGGGATGAATAAAGTGGGAACAAACTACGGGTCTAGAACAAATTAATTGCAACTGAATTCTTTCGGCCTTACTATCATCGAAGCGTAGCAGTGAATTCGGTTGTGGTCATCTTTCTTATCGCTTACACCCTCATCGGAGGTTATATATTCCTTCATTTCGAGCACGCTTATGCAAAATATGTGAAAATGAATGACACGTTAGCGAAGAAAGAATGCATTGAAACGCTTTTGTCCAGGTCAGGTTATTTGGATTTTATTTTTTTTTTTTTGTTTTTATTTATTTGACAAGTAGGTGTTTAGGTGTACTTGCTGTAGGTCAAACGCAGTTATCCTACACAAGCAATGAAATGCCATTTTATCGCCTGAATCATTTTATAGGTTCAAAAAAGCGTAATGGATTGGGCCGTAGTAAAATTTGTATTTCATACTATGGGAGATACGTTCAAAAAAGAGCCGAAGATGATCAGAGGTAGTGAAGCAATTTCATTTACCCCGGTTCGTGCCCGTCCTGGATTTCTTTTAGGGGATGCGCCGCATCCTGCGACAGCACCATAATCAATGCAATGACTGACAAAATTACCGAACAAGTGAGAATTGACTAGATTGGTTAGTCAGTATCTGAGTTGCCCCATGCACTCACATGGAATGCCTTAATTTCGTATTCGGCCATCTTTCTACTTTTTCTCTCGCAATTTTCAGATGGCCTCCCTGCAAACTTTGCGGCAATTTGTCCTCATAAGATCGTTTCAGAGAGACAGCCGTCGTTTTCGTGTTCTGGCGTCATTTCTCTGGCAGCCAACATCCTGAAGAAGTGTTTTGAAGAAGGATTTTGCATGTGCAGTGCGATCCAATCTCTTCATGGGGAGGACTCATTATGTCTGAGATCGTTTTCGTGATAATATGTTTATAGAGGGGGGCCTTGCAGATTATCTTTGCTCTCCGACAGCTCGCCCCTATCTTGAAAGCAAGCATCGGCTTCACAGCTATACAAAACATCAATCAGAGTAAGGTTTGCATTTTTTTGAAAGCACGTGTATGTAAATAAGTGGCAGTAAGGAGAAGGCCCCATAGAGCCACTTGGTGAGATCAAATTCCACCCAGCCACTCATTCATTTTGACGGATGTGGTTTTGTGGCGAGTGGCGTCGCTTACCACCGGCAGCTTGGATTTTGGAACAAACCTCGCCCGTGAAAAAACGCTTTTTGTATCTTTGTGGTTGATTGTTGGTGTGAGATTCGTCTGAAATAAAGGCACTGGGGCACACTGTGTCTTATATTCTAGCTTAACACGTTGACGACCGCGCTATTTTTCGCTGTCTGGCGTGTGGGACCGCGCGCATTATTTTTACCGCGCGCATTATTTTTTGCCGCGAGACAGACGTGTGCATGGATCATGTACAGGCGCAGTGACCGAAAGGGCTGTTGGTATGACTTTTTACAACGGTGTCGAAGTGTAATCTTTATCTTTGTTGGGGCCAATCATTCACCAGTTTACTGAGATTCTGAACGGCTAGGAATGCATGGTGCATTACCAAATTGATTGCGTGTATCATTTTATTATTTCATTTAGACATCATCCTTACAGTAAGCTGACCGTAAATCGGTCGCCCATCCATATTTGTAGGGCATTTTTGGTTTTTTAGACAGGAACCCAGTGACCAAGAGTACTTTTAGGGCTTGTATCCCAAGCATACCCTAGATAGCCACTTCCCTGTGCAGTAGGGCGAAGGGGCCCTTCATTTTTAGGAAACATTAAACTTAACAGTTCCAGTCCACCGAATTCGACTGTTTCGATAAAGATGATGAAATTCTTCCTCCATACGTCATTCCACAGAATCAGAACAAATAAGAATAAGTAATAGAGTAGTAAATAATCCATGAAGAAAACCATTATGCTGCGCAATCCTTTTCTCTAGTGTTTCGTGAGCCGAAGTATTTACACCTATTTCGGGACCGCGATTTCGAGTGTACGGGAAGCGATTTCGCGCGGTGATGCGGAGAGTGTCTCCTGCTAGGTGCGATCCCTCGGTTTTAGAAAGGGTCCTTCAAAACGCAAGTTCTACGGTTTTGGGATTATTAAAAAATTTAGTAGAAACTTCACATTGTTAGAGGGGATTCAGGACTCGCATAATTTGGATATTTAGAAACTGAAATTTCTCGTGCTCTTCAAAACTCAAATTGAGTTAGGTAATCTCATGGCTGAGTTTATGCAGAGTGCAAAAAGCAGAACAACGCTGACTTCTTTTACACCGCTCCAGTTGTTTGTGAAAATTAAAGGAATAATATGAAACAGATTACCGTATAATGTATAAATGTACATGCTTTCCTTATAAAGTTCAATGAAAAAGTAAGTTTAAACTTAAAAACTTTTTTGGAGTATTTGCTCCCACTTAGGACAAATTTCAGAGAATCTTCAGCTGATCCATATTTTACCTGATTCTCGATTGCTTGCAAATCCCCAATTTCGTGAAAAAAAAACATCAAATCCCCAAGTTGGAGAGGATTCCCTCTTTTATGGGCTTTTGATCCTATATTTCCGTAAATTTGGTCGCAATTTTAAAAACCTCCCGGCCGCTTTATATTGAGTGAAATATTCGCCAATTTTGCGGGTTATCAGAGATGGACGGCATCGGGCAGCGGCCAAAAGTTAAACGATACGCGTCCCTAGAGGCTCTGGATGTGCAATGCTAAGAGATTGATCGACTTTTGGTTTGAGAGTTTCAGAAAATGACAAATGACTGAAGTTTTCATGCAGATTCGTATGTATACCATATCTTCAGGTTACGGTAAGGTGGAGCCACGAACACCAAATGGCCGGATATTCACGGTTATCTATGGTTTCATTGGAATACCCGGTGACGTCGATTACTGCTCCGACTCTGGACGATATTCTGGAACGCTTGAACACAAAAGGCCGTAGAATGTGTCACGGTAGGGAGGTCTAGGGGTATCAGGGAGTGGAATTACAGAAAAAACAATATTTTCAGCCAGATGCCGACAGTGACAGTATAAATGGAACGACGTTGTTTTCATCATGATTTTGTATTTGGTCAGTATTTTTCATCTCAATACAACTAATAATAAATATGTAGTAATTGGTTTTCATTTCATGTACCCAAAAATATAACAATATTTCTCATTTTATTACTTATTTGTTTTTCATCCTGTACACTTCTCACATTGTTTCCCGTATAGTATTTCAACACGAGTTCTGAGTCAAGGTTTAAACCTAATCTGATATTTTCATTTTTACTTTCTCAAATTTTTATTCCTTTTAAAACGTTCTCTAATAAATCTCAAGATCTCTTCATTACTTGGCTACATTTATCTTCCAATATTTTGCTTTCGGGGGTTGAAAGCATTTTAGCTGGCTAAAAAGCGAAATAAGTGTAGATGCTGACCATTTGGCACAAAACCAGGGCTATGAGGCAGTGAGTAAGCAAATTCTCTTTCGTGCCTCTATATTTTTGAACTTTATTCCCTAGGTGGCGTCATTAGAGAAAAAAAGGTTAAATCTTGTTTCCCTGTCGGCGATAAATTCAATCTGTTGACAGCGAAATTCCACACATTAACTAGGGCATAAGTAGATAGGAATACGGAAACAATTTCAGGTCCAGGTTCCCCCACCGTTTAGCAGTGTGGCAGGTAGTAACACACGCAAGTCCTTCTTGTATGGAATTAGACATGAGCATCGAAACTTCAAGATCGTTGCGCCTGAGTCACCAACGCTTTCTTGAAATGTGGTGCGAGGGCATGCGGAATTTTAACTCCATATTCCACTGTCTGATCTGCTTAGGCTCCCATTCAACTGCTTGGCGCGAAGCAATGATGTTAAGAGTCATGAGCCAGCCAGTGAGCGGACGATTTACTAAAAAGACCCTAATGGACTGCACCAGTGGCGTTCCGTACCATCTCCCAACAATAAATTGCTCATTCGTGCAGCCAGGTGATCTTGACTGTTTCTACAAGAAGCGAGGCTTTCAAGCTGTTCCCGAAAGTTGGGCTGAGAGCCATGTAAAGCAACGAGTAAAAGAGGCGGGTGAAAAATTTAGGTGAGTCAAACTGGACATCTGGCAAATCATCGAGGTTTCTCTCGAAATTTTCATGGCAGTAAGCATGAAGTGATTCTGCGAAAATGGATCTACTATAATAAAATCTCGCAATAAAATGGAATAACGAATTTCAGGATCCCTTCCACTCATTCCACCGGGAGGTGTTGTGGTCCATGTGAAAAGGTTCATTGAATACATCGCGCTGACTTTCTCAGTCATGGCTTTAGCTCCATCAACTGCGTTGTAACCCTGAGCTGTGATTGAACCCTGTAACTGCCCATGGAAAGAATATATACCGCCACAATTTACGAGCTTTTTTTGCGACGATCGCGCTGGATTGATGACCGAGTCCTACACACGTGGGAGCTTCATATCCTTTACGCCAATAGCAGTTCTTAACTTGGTCATGGGGCACTCTCGTCCTGAGCAAATCGTCAAATTGTGCTGGTACATTTGTGCCCCGCTGATAGTTGAAGGGATAAAATCATGCCTTCTTGGGTCATTAGAATGCATGTAATCATTGGGGCGGAAGTGGTGTAGTGGCAAGTGGCACGCTTACCACGCGAGCGGTCCGGGGATCAAATCCTGGGTCGTGAGTCGCCCGGGCCAACCAAGCCTTCCATCCCTCCGGGGTCGGTTAATTGGTACCAGACTTGTCTGGGAGGATAAAAACACTGACTTGTACATCGGCTGGCCCCCGCAAGTCATTGTATAGGCCACATCAAACGCCACTACGAATGTACAAATGGAAGTAGAATGCGTGCCGCATCCCAAAAAGGGATTGATCAACGGCAAATGCTTTATCCTTTATCTTTATGTAATAACTACATATTACATAGAAGCATTGTTTTCAGTTACTTGGCGCTTTAGTCATTCCTCTACTTCATGGACAGCTCGATTTTTTCAATGGCATCTATTTCGCCTTCATCTGTCTGACGGCAATTGAGTATGGGGATCTCGTGCCTGACAAGTACGTAAGTCCATCCTGACAGCCAACTGATATCCGTTGACGGAAATTCGATGAGGGTGCCAAGAAGCCGACTTCGATTTCGGTTTGAAACTAACGCCATTCTAGGGGAACTATGAAGCGAAATTTCCTAGAACTTGCCTGAGTAACATTTCTTCTAACTCAACCTATAAGTCTCCAGATTTTCAAAAACCTAAAAATTGTAGTTTGTCTCTCAAAATTATCAATATTTCTTCAGTAACTGGTACATTCCCATCGTTATCGTTTATGTATGCATTGGATTAGCAATTTCGACAATCGCTTTAGGTAAGCCATTTCCGGTTTTATTTCAATGCCTAATTCTAATATATTTCTGAAACAAGAGATCATGTGATGATCCCTCATTCTCTCGTAATTAGAAAATAGTTATAAAAATCGCATCGATCGCATCGGATCGCACAGTCCGGGTCAATTTTTGGGCCAAACTCTGCTCATGCGAACATTCTGAGAATGGTTAAACGGTACCAGACCGGTCCATGAGGATAAGTACAGTACGCTGGCTAGCTCTCACATGTTGTTAGTCAAACCCATGTTCCGCTACAATCGTCAATGGAAGTAGGATGCGTGGCGCCTCCCAAATAGGGACTGATAACTTTGGATCTTTTGTGCATTTGACTTTAATTCACCTCTGGTAATCCTGAAGAAGCAAACTCTCCTTCCCTTCCGACGCTTAGCAGTGGTCAATAACGTAACATCAACTCAGGTTTTTCTTTGTTTTATTTGAATGTTTGCTTATTTAGGTATTTACTTATCCTCTTATTTATAGTTTCTGAATGTTAGAGATTCTACTGTTACAGATATTGGCTCGTACTACGTACGGAAACTGCACTATATTGGTCAAAAATTGAAAAATATTGCAAATATTCGTATATGGTTCGGCGCTAAGGAGTGAGTTCCAGTCGAATTTTCATTTACTGGTGTTTTTAGTCCGACCAATCCCGTTCTTGACCAACTTTTGATGCAGGATAATGAAATGGGAGCTAATACTGTAACATTCGCATTGCTCATTTCGAACAAAGCTGAAAACTCACCTGAAGTCCTTTCAGGATCCTTCTATAACACAGAATAGTCATGCTTGAGATTTGAGAAGAAACGATTGAGCAATCCTATGGGACCCTATGTAGTTTGAGCCTTCGACGAGCACGAACTCATGCTTTTAACACATTGACGGCAGCGCGAGCGATATACATCCCGCGCTCTGCAGGCCACGTTGGACCTTTTTTTCGCAGATGCACGACTTCTTCCGGAATTTTTCGCTTCTACTTTGAAGCAACAGTCCCAGCAGGGTCTGCTTCTTTCAATACTAATGGCACTAAAGGATGCACAGGCCCTATTGGAGAACATCTGAAGTGTAGTTATAAAGAAAACTCACCTGGGAAAAGCCTAAAAAGGGCGTTAAACTCCTCAAAGATGGGTGTGGTTGGAAATTTCTTCGGGACCGCCCACTTGCCAGCCGTGATTGGCTACGGAGGCATTCGTGCTCGTTTTGGGACCACAGGGAGTATTTGAACTCTGTCCTTTAAAGTAATCAATGTGATCCTGCCTGTTGCACTGGAATTGTTTTTTTTGTTGTTGTGATGTTGTTATGTTATGTATAGTGTTATGTAATTATGTTAGTGTTATGCAACTGGAGCGCATTTTCGGACAACTCGTCCAACGCGCGTCTTCCCACATCGCTAAGCGGCAGAAGGGGAGTCCCTGTTTAAAGCCCTGTTCGGCGTTTTTCTTTGGTTTTTTCGTCACTGTCGGTCAAATTGTCGCCTATAACTACATTATCAACGGTATTTACCCCGCAAATTCGTCCTGGGATTGTTGCTTTAAAGATCGCATATTGATATAACTATGTACAAACGTTGCGGTCTATGAATTCGTTAAATGTGCTTTAGTTTAACAAAGGTTTCCAGAACTCGTGAACTTTTCAATTCAGCTCTACTCACACTACTGTAGAGGAAAAGTTAAAATTGTGAATGGCATTGAATGTTTGGCCAAAACGTTGAGAACGATAAATTGCCAAGAAGTTCCAACTTTTATAGTAGAAAAACGTATACGAACACTTTTCAACAAGGTCTTCAATTTGATCCATTTTATAACCCTAAATAGGCGTTTACTCAATCGAAACTTCTGCTGGAGGAGCC